CAACACACCCAAAGAGGACATAAAACTTAAAGTCCCACAACTGCGCTCCAGGACACAACATAAACAGGAACCCAAATAAATAAAAAATGAACTGGCTCATGTGAAAAAATGGCCTCATTTAATGTAAGGGCAAAGGCCAGCGACTGATGCCACCTCAGCCCCGCCAGAGCCGTGGGTGGAGTACCATTGTGATGCCAGTAACACCGCCAAGCAAGCCCCCCACACTGCACTCAACACCACCAATGCCAAGCATGTCCACCCGACGGCCCCGTAAGATCAGACAGTATTCTTGCTGTACCTCTTCTATGTTTAGGTATGCTTTGATGCCCAAGTGCTTACAATCGCCTACCGAATACCACAGGCAAGGCCCTCAACTGCCTACCAAGTGCCCAGAAGCCATGCCGTGCACTCTGCAGCCAGTGCACAGGCCCTGGTGAGCAGCTCTGTGGCACACACTCAAGGGCCAGCCCCCCATCAAGCGGCTCATGGCTGCAGGTCTCCCTCCTGCATCTCATACTGTGCTTCACTACAGAGACAAGGCAGCGTACAGACCCACAAAAGCCAGCCCCAAACACCCAGGATGCCCTGGGACATCAGCTCCTAAAGTGTGATAAAGTAACAACAAGAGAGCCAGACTCATCCAGACTCAAGTTCATAGACTGGGCAGCTGGTGCCCAGTGAACAAGTGTTACAGCTGGGGACAAAACAGTGCCTTTGGGTCACTGTTATCCCTTAACCCCTCAGCAACAGCAGCTGCTGCAGGCAAAGGCCTTCCTCGGGGTGCTAGGCTGCCTCTAGGCAAAGCCGAAAGAAGCCACGTCTCGTGTGATGAGCACAGGTCAAACCACCACCCCTTCCCTCTGCACCGCAGTGATGCCCAGCAGCTCTGGGAAGCAGTCAACAGTTGTAGCTTACCCTGGGCAGGAGATGTGGCAGGCTCGGTCACAACCAGTGTGCAGACTTCACCCTGGGGCATCTCAGGCCTGTTCCTTGGCACATGCACCCAAAGGAAGACCACCCTTCCCCCTCGCCCCACCACCCTGCACCAGGCACTTTAAGAACACCATTTTAGCATCCCCTATAAAGCACCAACACATAGTTCTATTACAACCTGTACCACAAGACACTGAAACACAAGTGGGGGCTCTCTGGCCCACCTGCCAGTCAGCTGGCACTCAGGTATGGCCCCTGCTCCACCCCGCCCTCCCCAGGAACAACTTCGCCAATGAAACACCTGCAGCCCTCGCACCTCTGTGCATATAGTGGTGGCCTCTGCTTCAGTGCAGCTTCTGAGACAGGCAACCGGCACCCGTGCACAGCTCCGTGAACATGGCCTCACCAGCCAGCACGTGACCACAGAATGAGGTTCCTCAGGATGGTTGTGGCTGACACATCCCAAAGACCACAGTTAGAGTCAGGTCCAGTGCAGGGACATTAAGACAAAGAGCCTGTTATCCATGAAGAAGATGTTGTCTAAAAAGAAGCACATGGAACCACCCAAACATCTACCCTGAGGGTTAATAAACAAAAGTGGTCTATCCACAGATGGAATATTACTCAGTCGTCTAGAGGAACGAAGTGCTGACGCTCACACAACACAGTCAGACCTTGACGGTGTGATGCTAAGTCTAGGAATCAGACGCAGAAGGCCACACAGCTTACGATCCACTCACGACGCGTCCAGAAGAGTCACCCACAGACGACTGTCGGGCTGGGAGCAGGGGGGAGGGACTGCTAATCGGTACCAGATTTCTCTTCTGGATGACGACAACGTTCTGAAATTAGTGGTATTGGTTGCACAACTCTGTGACTATACTGAAAACCACTGACTCACACACTTCTGAAGGGTGAACCGTACGCATCTCAGCTGCATCTTGATAAGGCTGTTATTAAGAAAGAATAAGCACTGCCACAAAGAAGAAACTGCAGAGGATTGTTTTAAATTGTTTCCAAAAGTATGGCTTCATATTTAAACGAATGAAAAGACAAGGCGGTGGTGAGTCTAAACCCAATCCTCAGAGATGGCAACATCCGGGGCAGCCTGTCTTAAGAGACAGGAGAGCTGACAGCATTGACCAGCTCAGTCCTCAGCAGAGTACAACTATTTCAATCTACCATCAGTTTTACTACCATGAATGTTTTTCTTTGTGAAAATAAAATACAAGTATATCTGTTCTACCTACACTTGCCACACTTAAACTTTTAGAAGTCCGCAGAACAATAAAAATTTTAAAGTAAAAACACAGTGAGGGCGTGAAGACGCAGTCATAAATAATGAGTATTTCAGAAAACAGTTATAAAAAAATAAAAATTTACATAGGATGCAGAATTCAAAAGCAATCAACATCTTTAAAAGAAAAACATAAACTCTCTAAGCTCAAAGAGCTCAAAACAAAATACAACATTATCAAAAAAATGTAAAATGGGGCTTCCATAGAGTGGCTTTCCAGGCTTATGCCAAATGTCAGACTTGGGGAAAGCAAGAAAACCAGAGGCCAAACGTGTGCAGGCGGCACTTCACCTGAGCTGCCTACACCAGGCCACAAAGGCCTTATCAGCATCAGGACTTCGCTCTGAAGCAGCAAAGGGACAGAAAGTTAAAGAAATGTGACTGAAACTAGCTTGGCAGCAACATGGGATGTAGAAAAAACCAGAAACCATACTTGTTTTGAAATATGTAAACAATGGCCCCAAGATTACTCCTTAATGAGTAATCCTCATGAAGGGTCACATAGAATTGTCTGATTTTTCCAAAAAAAATTTTTTTAATTGCAAGCTTCAATTAACTATTCAAAAATCGAACATGAGGTTCGGTGCCTGTAGCTCAGTGGCTAGGGCACCAACCACATACACTGAAGCTGAGGGGTTCGAATCTAGTTCGGGCCTGCCAAACAACAATGACAAAAACAACCAAAAAATAGCCAGGCATTGTGGTGGGTGCCTGTAGTCCTAGCTACTCAGGAGGCTGAGGGAAGAGACTCACTTAAGTCTAAAGAGTTTGAGATTGGTCAGTGAGACTGTCTCAAAAAAAAAAAAAATCACATATGAACACTTATGGCCAAGATGTAAATATTTCATTCCACAAAACGTGCCTTGCTTTAAATTAGCACACCTCCATAAAAATAATAAAAAGCCAGAGCGGCCACGAGGAGAAAGCAGCATTTACTGTGCCTCTGCTGGACACCTTACCTACATAACCCTAAAAACAAGGACGTGAGGTGGGTGACATCCCTCCACCTGCAACGGGAAACTTCCAGAGGTGCAGAGATCTGGCCAGGGTCACTGGGCTGTGGCCTCAGAGGTAGTGGGGATGTGGGAAAGGACAGGTTCCCTTCATGTCATCAAAGGGACTTTTGCTTGAATCAAGGCTCTCTTACAAGAGATATTTTTGTTTCAGATTTAGCTCAATGCCCTCCCCCAAAATAATAACCACCACCTCCCCCATAGGCAGCGCATCTGCACACTCAAGAATCTCCCTGAGGCGCTGATGGAACAGCGGCAACAGCCAGACACCATCAATGCCAGGCTGCCAGGACTAACAGCACCTGAAACTGACCATGAAGGACTGACAGTCCAGGAACAGGAAACAATTCCCGGAGTCCCAAGGCTTACACAGGGCTTACTACAACAACCCCACCTCCTGGGACCTGGCCCACGAAGATTCCTCTGCCTAGCACATCATATGCCATCCAGGCTGGGAACTCAACTTCATAAGGAGAAAAGCACAGTCCAGAGATAAGTGTCACTGAAAATGATAAGACATCAATAAAAAACCAAAGTAAGTACCATAACCACTTCTTAGAGAAAGACATTAAAAAAAAGAAGCCACATCCAGGCCTGAAAGACAGCTTTCAAAAAAAAAAAAAAAAACCACCCACAAGCAAGCCAGTTGGTCTTGAAAGCAAAGTCATAGCAAAGTTTTAACTTCAAGGAGCTTAAGACATTGCAAAGCAGCACTCAGCATGACAGGTCCTGGCTGCAACCTCCTCCTTCCAAAGAGAATTGGTTTGTAATCTAAATACACACCACACTAGGTCAAAGAGAAATCTTTTCTCTTAAAGCAAAATGTTGGCACTGGGTTGGGGGGGGGGCAGTTAGGAACACTGCTGTAATTATGAAACATCCAGGAAACTTCACATTTCTAAGTGGAGACCAGGACGCCCTTCCTGGACAGCTGAGATCTCTAACTCAGCGCGAACCCTCACACGGATGCCCTCCTGGGGTGAAAGTGGCCCCCCATAAATCAGTCCGCAGGCATTCAAGGCTCTCAAAGTCTTTCTCTGTCACAGCGGCCTGGGTCTTAAAATCAATCGAGCACAGCACACAACATTCACACACATTCAAACACACACACACACACACACACACACACACACGTCCAGGGCGCCGCCCCGCCCGCAGAGACTCGGACACCTGCGCCGATCGGCGGCCCCACGCGCCGTCCAACCCCCAACTCGCGAGCGACTCCTGGCACTGGCCCCCCACTCCCTCCTTTTGTGGTAATAAAAGCCAGATTTGGAGAAACCAAGGCGACACAATGTTTAACTGCTGTCACTCAAGAACTCAATTAAATGGACAAATGCCTCATCGCGTTTCCAGCCCGGTGTGGAGGGAGAAGAGCACCAAGGAGGCGCGAACTCTGACCGCTGATGTCGTCCCGAGCCGGGGACTGGGCGCGGCGAGTGGATTTGTGATGTGGGGTGGAGGCTTAAGACAAGGGATTGGGGGAGCTCTTGCGTACACACTTAGGGCTTGGTTGCAGACCTGGGGTAAGGGATAATCGGGTGGGGGCCTGGAGCGTGGAAGGGAGGCTTGGGGTGGGGCGTGAAGCCACAAGATATAGAATTAGGGCAGTGTCCAGTCTTGGGATGGGGATTTGGGACAAGAAGTGGGGATTAGGTTGCAGATAGGGTGCGGGACGCCTGGACCGCAGACCTCGGGTGCGGGGTGGAGTTTTAGGATACAGACGGGGTGCGGAGGCTTGGGGTGCGTGCACACACCTTATGGCAGGCCGGGCAGGTAGGCAGAGCGCCGCCGGACCCGGGCGCGCTCTTTCCCCCATGGCCCCCGCCGCCGCTCAGGCTGCTCTGGATCTGCGTGAGCTCCTGGCGCAGCACCTGCTTCTGGTGGAAGCTGAAGGCCGGGTGGTTGGAGGCCATGGTGAAGAGCAGCAGAAACTCATCGCCCGTGCGGCCCTCGTTGAGCTGCAGCCCGTAGTTGTGGATGATGGAGTCGATGTGCGTGAGCGTGCGGTAGAGCACGCCTGCCGCCTCGCGCTGCTCCGAGCCCAACAGCGCCAGCGACACCAGCAGCTTGCTGCGCACCACCTCGTCCGTCAGGTTGGTGAGGCTGCCCAGGTCGGCCGGGTTGTTGGCCTTGATCTCCGAGTCGCGCAGCGAGTGGTAGTCCTTGCGGGCCAGGTCCTCGAGGCACGAGCCGAGGAAGCGCAGCTCGAGCGGTATGCACAGGTCCAGCAGGCCGCACAGGAACTCCACGCGCTGCGGCGACGGCAGCTCAGAGAACCAGCGGTACACGCCGTCCCTCTGCAGCGGGCAACGCTTCTCCACCATGCTGCCGCCCGCGCCGCGCCGCGACCCGGGGCCGG